TTTTTTAATTTTTATAGAAACAAGGTCTTGCTGTGTTGCCCAGGCTGGTCTTGAACTCCTGGACTCAAGTGATCCTCCCACCTTGGCCTCCTAAAGTGCTGGGATGATAGGAGTGAGCTACTGCGCCCAGCTCACATTAATTCTCAGATCTTCAGCCTACCCTGCAATACCCAAGTGAGACTCCAAGAAGCCCAGTGGGAAGCAACGCCTGTAGGGCCGAAGGCTGAGCAGAGATTTCAGCTGCTGTCCACTGCAGGGAAACAGAATTTGGAGTTTAACTCCCACCAAGTAGGCCCATCAGGTTTTCCATGAAAACCCCAGAAAGGCCTCCGCTTGGGCTCAAAGACTATGTACCAGGACTAAGATCCATCCTAGGACTTGGGGTTACAACAGTAAACAGAACAGCCTGGCATATTACAACAGTAAACAAACAAAGGTTCTAGTTGGGAAATGTATATTCTAGTTGGGAAAACTGCAATAAACCAATAAGTGCTATGCAGAAAAATCAAGCCAGGCGGCGGGTAAGGAGGTTCTTGGGTAGGTTAGTCAGAGAAGAACTTACTTGGCGGGGCAGGTAGGGGGGTCACATTTTCAGCACGGACTTTGTAGGGGGATTGAATGGTGACCTTCAAATGGTGGCTCTCAAAAAGATGCGTCGAAGCTCTAACCTCTGGTACCTGTGAATGTGACCTTATTCGAATGAAGAGTCTTTGCAGATGTAATTGATTTAAAGATCTCAAGAGGAGATTATCCTGAATGAACCAGGTGGGCCCTAAATTCTATGGCAAGTGTTCCTATAAGTAGAGGAGACTCAAGGGAGAAGCCATGTGAAGACGGAGGCAGGGACTGGAGGGTGTGTCTGTAAGCCCAGGTACCAGAAGCTCACAGGGAGGCAGGGCTGGCTCCTCCCTCAGAGCCCCCAGAAGAACCAGCCCTCCCAAGGTCTTGATTTTGGATTTGTTAGAGGGTAAGTGTGCTTTCTTCTAAGCCACTAACTTGGTGGTTATATGTTCTGGCAGCCACAGACACAGTGACAGACCTGCAGTGGGAAACAGGGAAAGTACTTCCCAGGGACCTTCCCACGGAGAAGGGACAGCAGGTGGAAAGGCCCCGAGTCAGGCTCAAGCAGGACCTGCGTGTAGCCAGGGATGCTGGAGGGGAAGGAGCAGGGAGAGAGGAGAAGAATGAGGTCAGAAGTCAGAGGTGATGAGGGTGGGGGAAGGGGGCAGGTTACAGGGTCTTCCAGGCTATACTAAAAATCTAAACTGCTGCTCTGAGTGAAATGGGAAATGCTAGATGCCATTGCCAGAGGAGTGGCTGCATCGGACTGTGATTGTAAACAGAATCACACAGCTGCTGTGTTGAGAAGAACAAGGCAGGCACGGGGAGGCTGATCAGAAGGCTCTGCATCACCCAGGGGAGAGAGAGCAGGTGAGTGGGACAGGTGGAGGTGATGGAGGAGAGGAGAGGGAACCAGGATGGGGAAAATGGAGAAGGGGAGAGGGAACCAAGGCAGGATTAATGGAGAAGAAGAGAGGGAACCAGGATGGAGGCAATAGAGGAGAGGGGATGAAGTGGGGGACAGTGGAGGAGGGAGGAGGGAGGAGGGGACCCAGGTGGGGTCAGTGGAGGAGGGAGAGGGGACCAAGGTGGGGACAGTGGGGGAGGGGAGAGGGGACCCAGGTGGGGACAGTGGGGGAGGGGAGAGGGGACCCAGGTGGGGCCAGTGGAGGAGGGAGAGGGACCCAGGTGGGGACAGTGGAGGAGGGAGAGGGGACCCAGGTGGGGACAGTGGAGGAGGGAGAAGGGACCCAGGTGGCGACAGTGGAGGAGGGAGAAGGGACCCAGGTGGGGACAGTGGAGGAAGGAGGAGGGGACCCAGGTGGGGACAGTGGAGGAGGGAGAGGGGACCGAGGTGGGGACAATGGAGAAGAAGAGAGGGACTGAGGTAGGGACAATGGAGGAGGGAGAGGGGATGAAGGTGGGGACAGTGAAGGAGGGGAGAGGGGACTGAGGTGGGGACAGTGGAGGAAGGGAGAGGGGACTGAGGTGGGGACAATGGAGGAGGGAGAGGGGACCCAGGTGGGGACAGTGGAGGAAGGGAGAGGGGACTGAGGTGGGGACAATGGAAGAGGGAGAGGGGACCCAGGTGGGGACAGTGGAGGAAGGGAGAGGAGACTGAGGTGGGGACAATGGAGGAGGGAGAGGGGACCCAGGTGGGGACAGTGGAGGAAGGGAGAGGGGACTGAGGTGGCGACAATGGAGGAGGGAGAAGGGACCCAGGTGGGGACAGTGGAGAAGGGAGAGGGGACTGAGGTGGGGACAATGGAGGAGGGAGAAGGGACCCAGG